TTCTTTTCTGGCATCCATCTTTAAAAATATATAATTTAGAGTTTATTTGATTGCTTATTTTTTCATCATGGTTTTGATTTAACATTATCATTACAAATTCTAATTGAAATATATGTAATATAAATTAATAGGTTCAATTATATATCTATCTGATTTATTTGTACATGGTTTGATGAAGATGATTTAATAATATCCTTAATAAGTTATAATTTATGTAAATCTAGTATATTACTTGAACAAAGAACTAAAGAATATAATGAATTATATATAAATTTAATTGAACGTAATTATAAATTAATAACTAAAACTCATGCATATACATTATGTTTATTTTTACTTGAAAGTCATGAAGTTGATTTAAATTCATATGATATTTGATTATCATTAATTAATGATGATAATTTAACACAAAAAATTATATCAATTAGTCTTGAAAAACTTTCAATAGTTGGTCAATATCCTAAAAATGATATATGGTGTTAATACTTTCATGTGTTTATACATTATTATAACGACCAAATAAAAATACAAAATCCATTAAATAATGAACTTGTTAATAAAGAACAAACAATAATTGATAGTTCATCAATAATATCATCATCAGATAATATTCTTATTGAACTTGTTGAAGAATTATATACACGTACAAAACAATCATCAACATTACCATATGAAGCTTTACTTTTATTACGTCCTTTATCATTATTACTTGCACACATTAGTTTTTTTTTCGTGCTTTAATTAATGCACGTTATTCAGCTAAAATTAATGAATGGTCTTTATTATCAATAACAAATATTGCACAAAGAAAAATCACTATGTATGGCTATATGGGGGTTAACTTGTCTTATGTTAAGTGCATGTCTATCACAGGGTATGGGTGTGGGTGAAGACAAGACCTATAATGATATCCACACCCACACCCTCTTATGAGTAAAATTTTGCCTATGGTTAAATATTCTTCCTAGTTTTCTTTATAAAAATTATCAAGACTTACACATACGATTAAAATTTATTTAGAAAAGATAAATAGTAGAACATTAATGAAAAACAAAAACTCTTTGTTGCAATCCGAAAGGATGACGATCAATACAAAATCAATAAATTTCGCCATGAAATGTCAAAATGAATTTTCATAGATAATATAGTATATATTTTACTTTTTTAGGTTTTTATTGATGTTATCACGTTTCAGTGCTCGTTTTGAAGAATCAGACAATCGTTTATTTCTTATTGCTGATCGAAAATAGTATCTGCAGGTATATATTAAAAGAAAACTTGCAAATATCAATTGTATCAACAACAAAAAAAATCTACTTTATTTATTTTAGTTAACGAATATTGAACATTGACGTCAATTTGAATAAGCATTCATAAATGAATCGAATCTAGAAAAGTTATATGCTGATTTACTTGAACACATTCAAAATACGGTGTGAATGTAGATGTTGTTTGGATATGTTGATGAACCATATACTCTCTCTCTGTCATCCATACTCACATCCTCAATAAAGACTAAAAATATCAATTCATAAAATGGAAACATAGCAACAAGAATGAATTTATTTACTTTTTTTCTTTTTACTAGAATCTGTCTCTATTATAACAATCATATCTAAATTTTCTAAAACCAATCGGAATAGATTGTCATTTATTTTGTGCTCTAATTTCGGTTTGGCTTATTGATTTATATTTCATATCGTATGTTTTATTATGATTTCAATCATTGATTTAACTAGTAAATAAGTCGATTACATGTATCCATTAAACATATTTTAGCCATTGAAGTTTCAACGAAAACATTTTTAAACCATGTCGTTAGAGTTTAAGAAAAAGTTGCACAACATCTGGATTAAAACTTGCATTTATAATCAGTACTTTTAATAATATCAAGAAGAATGTGAGTATAGATGTTGATATTCTGTTTAACCACATCTACAATCTTTGAATCGTTTTGGTTTAGTAGATTATATGTAAAAGCAGCTACCATACTTCATCCTATTGAACTGTTTTCTGAAAATCCATTGAAAATGATAAATTCAAAAAGTCTCGCACTACAGAATTGTCTTTTTATTCAAATAATAATTCTTTTTTCTTGATTTACTATTCGTACTTTTTATTATTTTGTTATCAATACAAAAAAAATTGAATATTTTAATGTAAAAAGCAATTTATCATTGACAGGATTTAACGATAACTATCAGAAAAGGAATCAAACCAACTTCCACAGGTTCGAGTTCAGTTCGATGCCTGACAAGCGCGGTATTATCCTGTAAAATTATTTTAGATTGTAAATTTCTGAGAATTTTTTTAATGAAAAGCATAAGTTAAAACTCAACAATACAACCATCAAAATGCTTGACTTCAGAAAAAATAAATCATAAATAACGAAAATTCGATCATCACTAAAGAATATTCTGTAAGAAAATGATTGTACCATGTCCCTATTACATTCTAAAGACACTAAAAGGCTTGTAAACACATTCTAGAATACTTCAAACATATTTAGATTTTATTTTAAATTTATTTAACTTTTTTAAAATTTATTTCTGGATCTTTAGTAAATGTTTATAAATATAAATTGATCGCTTTGCAAAATATTCTATCGAACATCGTTTGATAATCACATATAACATCACAACTTTACAAAAATGATTATATCTTAGCTAATCATTTTTTTTTCATATGCTTATCTATATTTATTCATTTTTTCAAAATTACTAATATATGTTTATGGAAGAAGTCGTTGTTTCAATGAATAGTATGATGTTGAATCCTGTTCTATTTTCATTACTGAAAATAGGAGAGACGATTAGCTTCAGAACTTTTTTCTCACAATCTACTTTCGTGATTTAAATTTTGTGTTCTAACTTATTTAATTTTGTTTCAAATATTTTTTTTGTTGTTGACACAGTAAACTTTGCATTATGTGACGATACAAAATAAAGAAATTTTTTCTCATAAAATTTAATTTAAACAGAAAATATATACAATAAGGTGTGAGTTTTCGGTTCATCTACAAAGGCATACATTCTATTGTCTAGGAATTCGTTGTATTCTTCACTTTTTCTTCTGGAGAAGTGTTTCTTTTTTTTTGATTTTGGGACAATTATCAATTTAGTTTGCATTTTATTTCAACAAGCAAGTCGTTGCATATCTTCTAGATTAAGAAAATATTTTTTCACAGTTACAGTTTATTGTCTGTCTCTTCTGAATAGATCAATCAATCTCATTCACATTTTTCTAGCTAATAATTGTCATGGATATCTACTTTTAAGAATCATCAGGATCATAAACTCGATCATTCGATTTTATTGTAATATAAGATTACCTGATTTTCTTCAATATGTCATTTCTTGAACTCTTGCAAAGACATTCTTTCTCAGACATTCGCCATCGACAAAATTGAGAAACTCTAAGATATTATCAGTTAAGTCTTCTAATCTTAAATAAATATATTTCTCCTGAATAATTGAAAATTCAGATAAAATTAGAATTGACTTGTATCACAAATATTCACTCTACTCGTTAATTAACCTTAAGAAAATCTTATATTTTGTGTTTGAATTAGAGACCTGCGGAGTCAATCTTTTTTGACTCCGACTCCGACTCCGACTCCGAAAGTTTTTTATGAATAACTCCGACTCCGACTCCGAAAAACTCCGAAAATTTTTCCTATTGTAAATCAGCAGCAGCTCACATGTATGGAGATATTATGTAATTTAAAGTTAGTTTACCATCACAAATCAAGTCTGATTGACGATTATTGTGCACGAATAAATAGATATGCAAAATATTAGATAAAAAAACTAAAGCTGATTAAATTTTCAACCTCTTTTTAAATATTAAATATAAAGGGTGGTCACAAATTTTCGACCCGTGTCTCCAGATTCGCGTTATTTACATGAAATACATATATAGACAGTTGATCAAGGTATACAATTTTGTAGAGAATGATTAGAGCTATATCTGAAAACAGTTACTTCAAACTGTGTCGGACTAATCAAAAGTTATAGTCATTTTATTAATCATGACTATGCATTTTCCATCTTACATTTTTTGTAAACACAGAAATATTTTTATAAAGTTTGAAGAGAATTATTGCTTTCTAGATAATTTTATATTTTTGGAGATAGTTTGTCAATTTCTACAAGAATATGAATATCACAAAGAGTTCTAATCCTATTTCTTGTATAAAACTTGGAGGAAATTAGAAAAAAATAATAAAAATCTCACATATCTTGCATTAGAGAGAGCATACTTAACTTTGGCTAACTTTATTTGATCGATTGTTCGTCTGTTCTTGATGCTCAGAAAAATCACTGTCACTCTTAGCATGTGACAACACACCTCGAAACATAAATTGACAGACAAAAAAGTTGATCTATTGGAGTTACTGATAGTTAAGTATACTCTTTCAATGTATGATATACCAGATTTTCAATAGTCTTTCTGACTTTCCTCAAGTTTTGTATTGGAGAGCGAATTAGAATTTTTTCTAACATCTATATTCTTGTAGAGCTAGTCAAATTTTATGGAACCATATAAAAATAACTAAAAGAAAACAGACAGCAAACAATATTTTGACTGATCTTAACAACTCAACGAGTACAAGAATACTTTTGTTTTTACAAAAAATGTAAGATGGAAAATACATAGTCATGATTAATAAAATGACTATAAATTTTGATTAGTCCGACACAGTTTGAACGAACTGTTTTCAGATAATAGCTCTAATCATTCTCTACAAAATTGTATACTTCGATCAACTGTCTATATATGTATTTCATGTAAATAACGTCAATCTAGAGACAGGAATCGAAATTTTGTGACCACCCTTTATTTGGAATAACTGCAAAGCTCTTGTCATGAGAAGAAATTGCAAGTCTAATTAAATAAGAAAATGGATCCATCAAAGTAGTACCTAAGAAAGACGATAAAATACAAGTGAAGTTTGGGATAATTTCCACCAAGTTTTCGTTTACTTGACGTTACTATTTCGAAAAATAATGTTATTTAAGAAAAGAAAAAAACTTTTCGGAGTCTACCAAATTTTACATCAACTCCGACTCCGACTCCGAAAAAAAAGTTTGACTCCGGTTCGACTCCGACTCCGAAAAAATCTTGGTTTTTAACTCCGACTCCGACTCCGACTCCGCCGGAGTCGGAGTCGGAGTCATTTTTCGGAGTCTATTGCAGGTCTCTAGTTTGAATATTTGGAATATAAATATTTCAAAAGTTACTCAAAAATAAAAGAAAACTTTGCAAGGTCACGATCTTTAAAATGATGATGCTGAAATCTTGCAGAACGCTGGTAGAAATAGTTAATAGTTATGTCATTGATTGTTTTAAGAACTATGCATTGAAAACAAAAACAAAAAACATGTCTGTTAACTCTTACTCAAGTATTCGATAGTTAAAGAAACATTTGAATCATTAGCCTCAATAGTTATTTCCATACAGTGTAGTATTTATGCACAAATTTTTTGATTGGTAGTAAATTTATCAATAAAAATCTTGAACAAACTGTTCAAATTCTTCTGAAAAGTCATGATTTTTATAAATTTACTTATGCGCTCATATAAAAAATGTGTTTTTTCTTAACAACTGTTTCCTCGTACATTGAGATAAGTCCAGTGAATGATAAAGTTAATTTCGTCAACTGTTGTCTTTTAAAGAAGACTCATAGTTCCACAGACTACGCATGCTTTTTTCTTTTCATATCGAATATAATTGTTGTT